AAAACTAAACATATCTATAACTAGTTCAGGTAGTTTGAGAGGTAATTAAAATAGGTACGTGTGATATTCTAACCTGAAGTGTGTGTTTTGTCCGCTCACCGCTGATCATGCAGAGCTGCGTGTCGACTCGTCAGCAGCAGCTGATCTCTCTCTCCCTCAGATTAGACTTTACTCGCGTTTATTACCATATCGATCAGATCTAGCTAGTTCTAGCTAATGATAGGACTACCTGCTTATTAAAAGACACCTAAACAATAAGTGTCGCTATGCAACCGGGTGAGGCCACAAAGTATAGCGCAGCATTATGCATTTGTTTACATGCCCACCGGAACCCCGAGGCATTACCAACAGATCAACGCACAATCAACCCATACAGGACATCTCTTTCTCTACATTAAGTGTTAGACATTAGAATGGACTATTCTTGTCAGTCACTACTCTTCTTGTCTGTCACATAAGTGGCGCAACTGAAGCGGTATTGCGCTAAAGGGAAATTATTTTGACCGGACATTTTGACCGAAGAGATTTAGATTTGCCGGCTAACGGGAACTCTGACGTCCCATTTTGTGTGCTTCGCGGATGCGCTCGGCTCCTCTCGACTGCTGCTCGGGTCTGCTCGGTCAGCTTCCGGATGAGGAGGCATTTGTTCAACCAACTTACAGTAGATAACATTACAAACATTTTTAACAGGGGCCATAATAGTGTAAATAATGTTTGTTTTGGCAGTTATAACTGAATGTAATGTTTTCTACTTTTTTACATCTGGGAAGGCATTTGGCATCAGATGGAAAGTGTCTTGACCAGCAACTTAAGTATTTCTTATATGCAGGGCATGCAAGCGAGCAAACACAAACAAGAACAAACAAACAAGTGAAATGAAGAATAAAATTGAAATTGAACAATATAATATTGTGGAGGTTCATCTTATAATTCAGTCTAGAGAATGCACCAGACAGCATCTAAGACCTGCAAAAATCGAAATGTTCTAGGGGGAGGCCCCCCAAACCCTTCGTGCGTCATTTCGTCCGTGAGCATTTTTCAGGGCAATCTCTATTGGGCTCAGGGCCATCTGTAAATTAGCTTAGATGGCCCACAGGGCCATCTCCCAAAATCCTTAATGTCATGCACTGCAGCGACAAAAAGAAAAGTCTTCAGCCTGGATTTAAAAGTAGTCAGAGTTGCAGCGGACCTGCAGGTTTCTGGGAGTTTGTTCCAGATATTTGGAGCATAATAACTGAACGCTGCTTCTCCATGTTTAGTTCTGACTCTGGGGACAGAAAGCTGACCAGTCCCTGAAGACCTGAGAGATCTGGATGGTTCATCATTTAGCAGGAGGTCAGAAATGTATTTTGGGCCTAAACCATTCAGTGCTTTATAAACCAGCAGCAGTATTTTGAAATCTATTCTTTGACACACAGGAAGCCAGTGTAAAGACTTCAGAACAGGAGTGATGTGATCCACTTTCTTAGTGTTAGTGAGGACTCGAGCAGCGGCGTTCTGAATTAGCTGCAGCTTTCTAATAGATTTTTTAGTGAGACCTGTGAAGACACCATTGCAGTAGTCGAGTCTACTGAAGATAAAGCATGGACAAGTTTTTCCAAATCCTGCTGTGACATTAGTCTTTTAATCCTAGATATATTCTTTAGGTGATAGTAGGCTGATTTAGTAACTGTTTAATGTGACTGTTGAAACTCAGGTCAGAGTCCATGACTACACCTAGATTTCTGGCTTTATCTGTTGTTTTGAACATTGCAGACTGAAGCTCAGCGCTAACTTTTATACGTTCTGCCTTTGCTCCAAAAACCATTACCTCAGTTTTATATTTGTTTAAGGCGAGACACCCCAGGTGAATAGGGTAATTTTTTTAACTTAAAACTAAGGTATCAGCTAGAAATTTCTCCAGTTAATTACTTACAATAAGGCAATTGTTTTTGTATTACAAGTTTTCTGAAATAGCATGTTTAAATATGCAAATGTACCCATTATATATGCACATATTTTAACACATTTCAGGAATGGAAATCTGAACTTTGGATAAAGCCAGGTTAAAAATTCTTGTTTCATTTTGTAGTCATATTAGTATCTAAGGCTTTTACAGAACAGATATTGGATATCTCTTTTTATCACTCCATAAATCATAAAATACTGTCAACAAGCCACATAGTTGCACCTGCAAGGAGAATACAGAACAACTGGTTAAAAAAGAATAATAATAATGAGTGTTTGAAAGCGTACAACAGTTTTACGATATCACTGCCCCATCTAAGACACGAGTGGATCTGACTTTAATTACGTAATGTGTTGCTTAAAATAATACGTCTGCATACAGTATATGTGACAATGTAAGTGTTGCACGGCCAGATACGGCTCGAGGAGCTGACTCAGATAAGGAAATAGTGTGATATTATATCAGTGGTTCTCAAAGTGGGGGGCGCGCCCCGCCTGGGGGGCGCAGAGGCATGCCAGGGGGGGCGCGAGAGACCAGGAGGAAAAATGGTTATAAAAAAAAAAAAGATTACAAAAAAATAAAAAATAAAAAAATAAATCATAATTTGAAAAATTATTGATTCGAAAATAATATGATGCAGTACAGTACTATTACGTCTGGGTCTCTGTGTTTCATTAAAGCTCGACTGACTGTGTGTGTGTGTGTGTGTGTGTGTGTGTGTGTGTGTGTGTGTGTGTGTGTGTGTGTGTGTGTGTGTGTGTGTGTGTGTGTGTGTGTGTGTGTGTGTGTGTGTGTGTGTGTTGTGTGTGACGAGCCATTTTGTGTGCGCGAGCGAGAGAGAGCTAACGGATATAAGGAGTTTTTTCAACAACAAAGTGGAGCAGAGTCCTCTCCTGTCAGACTGAGAGACTCAGTGAGATAAAGGCCTCAGTGTTATCTCAGTGGGTCTCAAACGTTTTGGTCACCATTAATGTAAACAATTATTTCCGAGGCACACGTTTAAATGATCATTATGGTTATACAAAAATAAGAGAATAAATGAAAAACAGGTATGAAATACTATATGACAGTAAAAAGAATAAAGTTTAAAAGGGTGATTTGTAAAATATCCATAAAGAAAAAGTAAATCTGTTTACAGTTCTGTTTCAAATGGGTGTTGAGAGATGTATCCATAGATCTCTTCATTTTGCTCTGAAAGTGCACCAGATTGATGCTTTTAACTTCAATATTTAAAAATAAATATTCCCGGGGGAACTTGCCCCCGGACCCCCCTATGCGAGGTCCACGCACCACCTATAAAAATAGCACTTTACCCCGCTTACACCTATATGCCGTGAGCTGATTATCGAGCCTTCATTGTAACAGTCGCGGGTACACTGTGTATTTGCGTGGGGAGTGTTGCAGTAGAAAATTCCACTGTAGCGCCCGGTACATTAAACCCTAAATGTTTGAGCACCCTCTATGAAAGGTCAAGCTACCCCACAGCACCCCCAAAATAAATCTCTGGCGCCGCCACTGAGCCTGACTATTTGTGTTGGGGGGGGCCCGACATTTTTTTTTCTCCAAAGGGGGGGCCTGACAGAAAAAGTTTGAGAACCACTGTATTATATCGATGATCTGATTGATGATGTGATATAAATGATAAGTGCGACACGTCGGCATCTTCTCTGCATACGGCAGTTTAAACTGTATTTCCTTTATCCTGTAATATGACGTGATAGATTTAAACTCCGCACACTGAGCTCTGATTGGTCAGCAGGCGGTGCTTTCATTGAGTTGATCTCAGACGCCGGAGACGGGCAGCGTCAGGTAAAACAAAGTTATTTAGCCTTCCCAAACCTGAGCCTCATGCGCCGCCTATGCTGTTAAGGATTAACACCCGGAAAGCTTCTGGGCCTGACAACATTCCTGGTCGTGTGCTAAAGGACTGCGCAGCTGAGCTCACAGATCCTCATAGACATCTTCAACATCTCCCTGAACCAGGCTGTTGTTCCCTCGTGCTTCAAGGTAACCACCATCATACCTATGTCGAAGAAGTCATCACCATCCTGCTTCAATGAGTACCGCCCTGTAGTGCTGACTTCCACCATCATGAAGTGCTTTGAGTGGCTAGTCATGAAGCAAATCAAACCTCCCCCCCTCGATGGATCCGTATCAGTTTTCATCGTGAGTGAAGTGGTCCACTGAGGATGCAATCTCCTCTGCTCTCCACCCATCCCTCACCCCCTGGACACTACAAACTCTTATGTTAGGATGCTATTCATAGACTTTAGTTCAGCGTTCAACACCATCATCCCCCAGCAGCTGGTTTGCAAGCTAACAAACCTGGAACTCAGAGGGCCCCTTTCTCTGCAACTGGCTGCTGGACTTCCTCACTGCCAGACCCCAATCTGAACGGGTCGGCAACAACACATCAGGCACCATCACACTCAGTACGGGGGACCCCCCAAGGGTGTGTGCTCAGCCCCCTGCTCTTCACCCTGCTGACCCACGACTGCACACCCACCCACAGCTCCAACCACTTCATCAAGTTTGCGGATGACACAACTGTGGTGGGTCTCATCAGCAACAACGACGAAACCCACTACAGGAGGGAGGTGAACCAGCTGCACTGTAAAAACAGTTCCGATGGTGAAGTCAACAAAACTAAAACATTTTATGTAATTTACTTGCCCTAAATTAGTTTTCTTTTCAATGTGCGTTTAAATAAGTAACACTTAAGCAACAATGAGAACATGTTTTAAGAACTCATTAATTTGTAAATTAAAGGTGGGGTAGGTAAGTTTGAGAAACCGGCTTGAGATACACTTTTTGTTATATTCCATGGAATGCTCTTAACATCCCGATAGCAATGAATATCTTCAGTGCTTTGACAAAAAATCCATTAAAAAAATGTCATTGTGGAAACCTGTAGTACTGTAAAAAGCACGACCAATCATCTGAGCCGGCTAAAGTAACTGGATGGCCTACCTGCCTGTCAGCCTTCCATCTGTGCACAAACTTATCTCGTGCCCTCATTGGTCATGTGCGCGTTCGTGTGTGTTGGAGGAGGGGCTCTGAAGGAAGTGGCACATTTGTTCCGGCTGTGTATTTTCAAATTCTAGCGATCTTGAGCTGGTTTCTCCAAAATTACCTACCCCACCTTTAATATCACATTTTCTGAACTTTCTTTAAAAATACGTTTTGGAAAACTTAATAAAAATGCTTTTGTCAACGCCACGGCCTCAAACGAGAATACCGAGGTGTGAGACTTCCTGGTCCTCTTTGCAGCGGTTCTTCAGTTGGACACGTGTTTGCGTTGGATCCTCTTCAAATCATCATAAAACAAGTAAGCATACCTCCTGAGTTATTAATTACTGCTTTTTAACTAGCAAGTGTTATTTACTTTTCTTGTATTAACCTTTTTTGAACGAAACATCGACATTTTAATGCATGCCAGCGCCCTTACCGCTGTTAAAGTTAGACTCAGCCCTGTCGTGCTCATGTAGTCTATTTCTTCGCGCAAAGTTGTTGGGCAAAGTTTGCATCAAGTGCTTACCGACGCAATTCTGTTCAAATTGGTTAAATTAAGAGTACGTATTAAGAATCAACTCCGCAAACTGTTCCCCTATGCCACTCTAAACGTTGGCCGGGCACCGTGATGCGGCCGCGGGGCTCAGAGGCTCTCCTGCCGTGCATGTTGTGCGGTAAAATACCTCCGTTAAAACTATTCCCTACTACTTTATAACCAGCGGTTATGTAAGAGTAAGTTACTAATGCGCCTATTTGATATGAATTCCTCTATGTATTTGTCGTTTGTTAGCAATTAATTATCTTTCTACAATCTTAAGTGTACCCAATTTAAACTCATAGTCAGCAGTTACAGCATCGAGTTGTTGTTATTACACAAAATGAAGTGCAAACTATATTTTTCATGCTTATGAAACGCTATAGATGTTGGAAACTGCAGGAGAGTTAACATTAGCTCTCAGTAGAAAGTGACGGAGGTGAATTCAACATAAAGTAGATATTAGACAGTATGCAAACGAGATAAAGGAGTGTATATTGAAGTAATTAGGATCTGCTGTGTAGAGAATCATGGAATTGTACTGGTATCTACCAATACCATCCTTAATAAATGCCATCCTTATAAATGTATATAAATACAATACCGTTTTAAATGATACTTGTGTTTTTAATGTTTGATTCCATTAATTGAATTAAATATGTTTTAATGAATTCTACTGAAATGATTGTTACATTGTCATCATGTAACTATTTTTGTTCTTTGATTTGCCTCACCAGAAAACAGTCCCACCTCCTCTTGAAGACATGTTGCCTCCTGCTATGGACTTCAGGTTCACATCAGGTAAGCCCTTGAGTGTGTCAGACTAGTTGTTGTTTCACAGGTTAATTCAAGACGTGTTATTTTTACATTCTAATATAATGAGCATCAGGTAAACATACCCATTTATATTTTTTGAATCACAGATGGGATGGAGATGTGAACTATGCAGCACTAGTGTCACCACTCAAAGTGATATTTTAAAACATTATCGACTCCATCATGGAACCTTTGGACAGAAACGTGCCTTGCCCTGCGTTCATGTAGACTGGCCTGCGCTCTCACTTAAAAAGTTAAAGTTGAAATAATCGTCTGTTCTTTTTATTCTAGGACCCATGTGCCACTTTATATACATCTCTGAGCATGAGGTGGGGTTAAAAATAAGTAGTTGGACATTTTATGAACTGTATCAATATCATGACTATGTGGTTCATTTTCTTGCAAACAGCCTTTTTGATGACTTAAACCCCTTGTAATGCATGTGAATAGCACCTCTGTTACCGTCTGTTAACAGCTAATGTAAACTGGCCGTTATGATTTCAAGACGGATGTGATTTTTGTTGTTGAGGAAAACACATGGTGTGTCCTGATTTGTATTCAATTCAGTGTTTTGTTTGTATATACAGGGAACAGCAGAGGTCGAAGTGCAACAGGCTCGTGATGCACGGCATGAAGCTATACGCTGCCCACGAGCCAGATGCAGTTGGAATAACCATCAAGTAATAACCATGTGTCTCCATGTATGTTAATGTGTTGTGCTTTTAAACAAACTTGTTACAGTTTTATGAAAACTGTTTTGAAATAATCACATTTTAATAAAATGTATTAACATGTCCATAACGTTCCCTTTTTTTATTTATTTGTTTAATCTGCAATGTTTCAATGCTATCAAATAATGAAAGGGTTGGATTGAAATCAGGAAAGTTTGTCATATAGGTTCTGGCAACTCAATTGTGTTTTATAATTTACTTTATTCTCGTGTGGTTCTTAGCAGATTGTTATTTGCATTGGTTACACTTCATATCTGGGCTTTTAATTGTAGGCTCATCTCATCTTTTCACATGCAGAAAAAATCACATTAGTGAGTTTACCCAACTCCTATAATTGCTTGGAACCACTTGACACATATTTTTTAAGTTTTAGCAAAGCAACAGTTTTTACAGTGTGGCAACGTGGTGCAAAGATAACGTGTGGAGAAAACACCCAACACCCCCACCCATTGACATCGGTGGTGCTGCTGTGGAGAAGGTGAGCTGTATCAAATGATTGGGGGTGCACATCACCGAGGACCTCTCCTGGAGTAACAACACCACGTCAATCACCAAGAAAGCCCAGCAGCGCCTCTACTTCGTCCACAAAACTGTGGCACGCTTCATTGCGCCGCATTTGCGCATAGGATGAGGCTCCCTCCGCAAGATGAGGACCTGCCTACCTGCGTGTAGGGAGGGGCGGCCCTGTTCATATTGACCAATACTCTGTGTATCCTTTATTGTTCTCCCATGTCTTTGGGTATTTCTCTTTCCTTTAACAGACACATTGTCTTGTACTTTGTTTAACTTGCTGAAAGTGCCATGTCTGCAAAAAAACTAATACAAAGATTTTGAAAAAATAAAATAAGATCTGTGGAAACGAACCTGTTTGATAAATGCACGTTTTGTTCAGCCGGATAATCTTCACATGTCTACCCTACTTTTATCATTTGCAAATCATAAATCTAATCACCATAAGCAAATGCTAACGTTATGATAAACGAACTACAGCCGAGTACAGCATGGTCGCACGACTTCAACGTCACGCCAAATTAAAGGACCCATGTCATGGCCATTTCTACTGATCATAATTCCATTGTTGAGGTCTACTAGAATAGATTTACATTGTTCAATGCTCCAAACTCACATTGGTTTCTCAGACAGCATCTCTGTATAGTATTAGATCTCTTGCATCATTGGGTATGTTTAAACATGCATTATCATCTCACTTTCAACTGGTCTGCACTTGTTATTAATGAAACTGATATTGATGAAACTGATTTGCTTGACTGTCTCAAATTGTAATGATTGTATGCATTGCTTGAATTTTACTTAACAGACTGTATGTGGTTTGTCTTGTGTGTCATGTTTTGTCTTTTTGTCTTTTTGTTTATGTCTGTCTGTAAGTTGTTGCTATTGTCGGGACCCCCTTGAAAACGAGATGGTGCATCTCAAGGGGTTTATCCCAATCAATAAAAATGTCTATATAGTATGTGTATTCACTCTGTCCTAAACGGCTTGTTGGAGCTCCTGCCCCCCTCCCCCCCTGTGAGCCCACTGTGCTCTGATTGGTCAGCTATGGATAAATCCCTTGACTGAGACGAGGGAACCAGAAGTGGTAAAATGCTAACTCACTTCCGGGTTTTAGGACTCGTTCCTGCACTACTCTATACGTGATGTTCATACTTGCAGCCAGTGGTTATGGCAGTTCACTGCTGCGTCAAGGATCCTGCCTGGATGTACCTGGAAGTGCATGGATTTGCAAAGGCCTGATCATTGCTGTTTGCAGCTTCAATTTGAATTGACATCTATGTCTTCCATTAGGATAATGACATCCAGCAGAGAGGGGAACACAGCAAAGTCCCAACAGGCAGGAACCAAACTGTGTTCAGCTTGTTGGGGTAACTCATTTGTTGAGAAGTATCAGAGTGGCTGAGTTTGTAGAGTCATTGACCCAACTGCATGCACACCCTCAAATACCTGGTAATGTCCTCATGTACACAGCGGAACAATTATCTAGGTTTTTCCTTTCAATACACATTATGCTAAATGTTATCAAAATCAGGATCAGTTTCAGAACAGTAGATAGCTTGTAAACATACTCGCTTTCTGACTATTGAGTGTTTTTAGCTCATCTTATTCTATTTTACATGTAAAAGTAAATGTAGTCATTGTGCAGATTGGTCCATGTTAGAATAATATATGTTTTATAATGATTGATCATGAAAGTGTTCTCAAAGCTGGTGAAGGTGCAGCTAGTTTGAATGATTTGTATACTGCAGGGTAGCTGGTGGATTTACTCCAGGTGGAACTAAAGTCTGATTCAACACTTGATTAGACCATCATTCATCCAGATCTGTGAAGTAACTAAAGGTATTAAATACATGTAGTGAGGAAAATAACAGTAGCATGACAGGGAAATACTTGAGAAAATAACAAGTCCCTCAAAATGTTACTTAAATTCAGTACATCATATATTGACCGAGCCGGGTCCGTGCAGCCCCTAAAGAAGCCCCCGCGCCTCTCAGCTCACCTGGTTGAGCTCATGCTCCGCCGCTATCCTCAGGTTCGGGTCGATGGTTCCCTTCAGGGCCTGGATGATCCGGTTAGGATCCATTTCAGCTGAATTTCACGGTTCCTTCCGTATTTTTAGTATCACATACATGTAGCGTTAGCATGCGGTTCTGCATTCACTGCGGCCGGGACAGCATCGGCGCTCCGAGGCACACACAGCTCCCGGGCGTCACATGCAGCACCCCCGGCGGACGGGTGAGCTCTGAGCCGCTTTATTCTTTCCTCTGGGAAGTTCTGGCTGTCTTGACGGAGACGATGGCCCTGTCCGGTTGTACCGGCTGTCAACTATCGGTGGACGTAAAGCAAAGTAAACAAACGCTTTACGGTTTCCACCTCTTCTCTGTCCACATAGGGCGACACTGGGAGTGCTGCTGCCCCCTGGAGGGCTGGCGTAGTTATTGGCTATTTTGAATGAACAGGCGATATGAGACTGTTAGAGGCATGCTAATGTTTCTGTGCTTAATGCACAAAAGCCGTCTTGACTTATACATTGATTAGTTTTTAGATATTAAATGTAATGACAAAAAAAAAACATATCTTCCAAAAATATTCAAGTAATTCTATAATAGAGATGAGAACCAGTTACCTTCCACCAAAATGTTAAATAAATCCATTTAAAATCATGAATGAGATGTACCCTTGCAATCATTTCCTACACCGATCCAATTCAGTTAAGACTTAAATAAAGCTTCTTTTGTAACTCAGATATTGAAACACTTCAGCATATTTTCTTTTCATGCATTATAGTTCAAACATTTTGGGATGCTTTCCAGTATTGGTCTACTTTGAATGAGCAAAACCTTTGCGATCTTATTATGTGATTATTTAAAAGTTGACCTTCAATTTGTAAAAGAAAAACCGTATTAATCTGTAGGCTGTCTGTAATTTTGACAGTTTAGAAAAATGGGAGCTATCCACCCTTATCCACAATTCAAAGTCATTTACTCACGCCTTCTCTTCTCTGTCATCACACCAGTCAGTACAGTCGTCTGTTTGAAATAAAACTCAGTTTTGTAAGATTGCATTAATTTTCCTGGTGCGGCACCAGGCAGCAGTGTATTTAGTCTTATTTTTCACGACCTTTTAAATGCATCATCTATTAGCTTGATCTGTAAATTAACTATATAAAAGGCTAAATGCATACGATGATGGAAGTGAGTGCTGTCAGAAAGATGTATTCTTTTTGGGGACAGGAACGATGTGGGGACTATAGACTGCAGCAGGGACCTGTTGAAGATGTCTGTGAACACCTCTGCCAGCTGAACTGCACACCCCTGAGAACACGGCCAGGGATGCCATCGGAGGTCCAGGAGCCGGTGTCTTCCCGTTTTGCCCCTTCCCTATTCGCCCCTAAATTATTCCCATTTGGCCCCTTCTCCATTTGGCCCCTTTCCCCTCTTGCCCCTTCCCAATTCGCCACTTCGCACCTTTCCCTTTCGCCCATTTCCCAATTCACCCCTTACCTATTTCGCCCCTTCCCATTTCGCCCCTTTTTTACATCAGGCCATGAGAAATTATACTTGTTTTGCTTGGTCGTGGTCTTAGCTTTCTAGATACCCTTCTTACAAATACTTCTCAAATGAGCTACATTTTACATGTAACAGGTGCTTTATTAAAGAATAACAATAAAACAAAAAATTATATATACCAATTACTAGTACTACTATACGATTCGTACCTTTTACAATAATGGTACAGAAACAAAAAGGCTCATGGTTGATCATGTAATTTGACTTTAGAAAAAATGAATCAATCGAGGGAAAATAAGGGACATGAATATCAAAGACCATATGATAGGAAAGAAACTCACTTAATCTTGCACATATGCATACGCGGCAGAACTTGTATTGCTGGTCTTCAACCAGGCTTTCCGCTCCCCGGTTTGTTTGAATGAATTCTATTGCATTCTCCATCATACCTTTAGACTTTGTTTGGCGATTCACTGATTCTGTGATTGCAGATTCCAGGAAACAGACTGCAAGGGAGCAAGTTTAAGTTTCACTTTCAAATCCACGATATAGCTCAGCGCCACACCTTCATTATACATTTTGCCGCTTGTTTGTACCATTTTCAGACAATTTGTAATCTATTCTAGAAAACCAATGTTTGTTTTTTTCAAGAAGCTATAAACAAACAATGGATGTCTTTTATGAACATTTATCCATGTTGGAAGTAGATTTAGATGTTCTAGGTTAGATAGAGTTTATAGATCTAATGATGCATCCCATGAAGCATTAGGCGCTTTCACACCGGAGTACTTTTCCCAGGAATAGTTCCGATAGTTCCTGGGATTTTGCGTTCACACACACCAAAAAGATCTGGAAACTAGAACTTTTTTTTGCTAACCTTTTCACCCCTTTTTAGTCCCTGCTAGAGAGTAGGGACTTTCCTGGGGAGAAAAAGGTTCCAATTTCTGATTGGCTGGGCGAATTGCAAACCACGCCCCCGTAAAACTCTGAAAAGTGTTTTGTGAAGCCGCCATTCGTATTTGCTTATTAGCATTATTAGCATT